TTCAACATGACATAAGACTCCAATAATATTTCAAATTTGAATTCTTCATGACGTGCATTTCAATTAGAATTTTTCAATTTCTTCATCAAGGAATTCGTGTCACACCCAAATTCCAACAATGTTAATGGGCTGTTAGTGTGTATGCGCATATATATATATATATATATGTGTGTGTGTGTGTGTGTGTGTGTGTGTGTGTGTGTGTATACGGTTATGGTCCCCGGATCATATGTTTTGTTCGTTCTGTTCTGACTCTCATTTTCAAAGAAAAACAGAGGAACAACGTGTTGATCTGGAAGACTAAAATTGCATGATTCATTCATTGCATTAATTATGTCTGATTCAAGTATGCTTCCGTTTTGGTTCAAGAATTCTTGATGATCCAACATGAACGATCATTTTAACGGTAAAGTATATTCCCAACAAATAGTATGAAAGCGTATTCATATTGAATCATTGAGAATCAAAATTTTAATTTGATTCTTGATAATTTTATTGTTTTCAAATTTAGCGATTCTCGTATTAGTTTTGTTAAATTTGAAAATTATTTGGTCGGTTTTCCAGAAATTCAGATTTCAGTTTTAAAAAAAAATAATTTTGACAGGCAGTAGCGGCTTGTGGTAGCACGCTACACAAAACCACAATGGCCCCGAAGCCGTTGCCGAGCACGCAGTGCTCGCCACCACCGGGCTAGCACTGCTTCAAGTTCGGTGGCGGTGCCGCCCCCCTCCCTCTCGATTTCTCCCCTCCTTCCTTTTTTAGGGTTTACAGTTTTTTTTTTTTTTGGAGACGGGGTATGTGTTGTAAATTAGATATGTTCAGGTCCTTGGTTATAATTTAAGAATTAGGGTTAGAGTTACAATTTTTTAAAATATATTTTTAATCATTCAGCTCGTTAAGTTTAAAGTTTTGGTAATTCAACCCCTTAGGGTTAAAATTCATCCAATTGGGCCTTTAAAGTTCTGGGTTTAATAATTCAGTCCTTGAAGTTTGAAAATTAATTAATTTGAGTCATTAAAGTTCTGAATTTTGTAATTAAGACCATAAAAGTTCATAATTTGTTTAAATTGACCCATAAAGTTTTGGATAATTGATTTTTAATCCTTAAAGTTCTGAATTTTTAACCCTTAGGCCCCTAAAGTTTTAAAATAAATTAAATATGCAAATTCGGTGATTTTCTTTTTCAAATTTTGGTACAAAGACCTCTTTTGAGAGGTATAATATTTGAAAGTGAAATAATTGAAACAACATGTTGCCAAAAACAACATCTANCGAGCACGCAGTGCTCGCCACCACCGGGCTAGCACTGCTTCAAGTTCGGTGGCGGTGCCGCCCCCCTCCCTCTCGATTTCTCCCCTCCTTCCTTTTTTAGGGTTTACAGTTTTTTTTTTTTTTTGGAGACGGGGTATGTGTTGTAAATTAGATATGTTCAGGTCCTTGGTTATAATTTAAGAATTAGGGTTAGAGTTACAATTTTTTAAAATATATTTTTAATCATTCAGCTCGTTAAGTTTAAAGTTTTGGTAATTCAACCCCTTAGGGTTAAAATTCATCCAATTGGGCCTTTAAAGTTCTGGGTTTAATAATTCAGTCCTTGAAGTTTGAAAATTAATTAATTTGAGTCATTAAAGTTCTGAATTTTGTAATTAAGACCATAAAAGTTCATAATTTGTTTAAATTGACCCATAAAGTTTTGGATAATTGATTTTTAATCCTTAAAGTTCTGAATTTTTAACCCTTAGGCCCCTAAAGTTTTAAAATAAATTAAATATGCAAATTCGGGGATTTTCTTTTTCAAATTTTGGTACAAAGGACTCTTTCGAGAGGTATAATATTCGGAAGTGAATTAATTGAAACAACATGTTATCAAAGCAACTTCTCTTGTAGAAATTAATTAACTTAGAATATTAAAAGGTGTTTGTGTGTTTTATTCATGCGAATATTTGATCGGCCCAAATGAAGGTCAATATTTGGCCAAGTTGCACATACACACGTGGTGATAAACATGTGGCGATTATTTGGTTTAACGTGTGATCAATAAATCGGTTAACAAAAAGGTTTATTGATTGACATGTTTCTTTATTGTCAGTGTTTGATCACTACACCAGATTACCACTTACAAGTCAATATTTCTGTCTAAAGACTAAATATTGATGTTTTGCTATGTATCTTGTGCTAGGCCCTACCATTATTTGAAATTATTATTTGCATAGTATAGATTGTGAGCACTTCAAATTAATTGTTCTCTAATTCAGTTTCAGGTTCTGCTGCTAATATCTCTGCTAGCATCAATTTAATTCAAATGCTTAATGGCAGCAACTTTAAGGCATGGCAAGAGAACGTGAAGTCATGGATTTGGACCTTGCTTTACGGGTCGATCAACCTGCTGCACTGATTGATAAAAGTACCTCTAATGACAAGAGGGAGATGAAAAAGTGAGAACGATCGAACCACATAAGCTTAATGGTCCTTAAGAGTGCTATTCCAGAAACATTTCGGAGCACTATGTCCGATAAGGTGACTACGGCTAAGGGTTTCCTTGAGGACCTTGAGAAGAGGTTGCCAAGAATGAAAAGGCTGAAACTAGTACACTTTTGGAAAATCTTATCTCAATGAGGTATAAAGAGAAAGGAAACATATATGAGTACATTATGGAAATGTCTCATATTACTTCAAAACTAAAGTTACTCAAGTTGGATTTATCTAAAGTCTTGTTAGTTCACTTGGTTCTGATATCCCTTCCGGCACACTTCACTCAATTCAAGGTGAGCTACAATTGTCAAAAGGACTCATGGTCTCTTAATGAGCTCATCTCACAGTGTCCAAGAAGAGGAAATATTGAAGCATGACAAGACAGAAAGTGTTCATTTAGCCGCTACATCCAAGGACAAAAGGATCAAGAAAAGGAAAAATGATAAGTAAGATGTGGGTACAGTATCGCAAAAGAAACATCATAAGGAACAAACTGGGGGTAGTTGTTTCTTCATGGAGTTGCAGGTCATAAGAAAAAGAACTGTACCAACTATCACACATGGCGTGCCAAGAAATGTATTCATTTTCATTTGGTTTGTTCTAAGATTAATTTAACTTCGATACCTAGACACACATAGTGGATAGATTCTAGTGCAACAACTCACATTAGTGTGTCTATGCAAGGTTGCCTGAGTTGTCGAAAATCAAGTGATGGTGAAAGATACATCTATGTTGGCGACGACAAGATAGTGGTAGTAGAAGTAATAGAAAGATTTAGATTATTGTTAAAGACTGGATTTTACTTGGATCTTAATGAAACATTTATTGAGCCTTTTTGACGGAATTTGATTTCTATTTCTGTTTTGGACAAATTTGGTTATTCTTGTTCATTTGGGAATAGAATATTTAGTTTGTTTCATGATTCAAAATTGGTCGGTTCCGGTTCTTTATCATATTACGATAATCTTTCTTTAATTTATACGATTGCTTCTTTTAAGGTAACATATATAGCCCAAGTGAGAGATTAGAAGGATTTTAATCGAACATGTGCGCTTATATATATATACACGATTATAGTCCCCGAATCATAAGTTTTGTTCATTCTGTTCCGACTCTCATTTTCAGAGAGAAATAAAAGAACAACATGTTGATGTAAAAGACTAAAATCACAAGATTCATTCATTGCATTAATCGTATCTGATTCAGGTACGCTTCCGCTTTGGTTCAAGAATTCTTGATGATCCAGCATGAACGATCATTACGACGGTAAAGAATTTTCCCAACAAAACAGACTCGTGGTGAGTGTTATAGTCCATGGCCTCGTCCACCTCTCTTTACCACCCCTTTTTAAGAAAGTTGTGTTACAACACAATGCATCTTGATACATCTTACTGAACTCGAAATGCAATGTATCAAGAATGTACAATTTGAATATGAAATATTATCACCACATTTCATATACTCATTTACATTTATTTCATACGAACATTTTTCTCTATTACATGCAAATGTTTTACTTCATAACGTCCAATTCAGTTTAAGCACCAAACATGTTTTGAATTTCTTATTTTAATATAAAAATTCGTGATCCAATTGAAAGGTGTCATTTATAGTTAAAAACTAGGAGAGGTGCTTGCTTGAATAACATTAACATAAACAATCTGAAAATAGCAGTTTTTCTATATAATATTTTAATTAGTTATAACACAAATTCTTCTTTAATATATTACTAAAAATACGACCGTTAAAACCTCGTACACACGTTAGTTATCCTAAAGTTAATGTCTACCATCTACTTTTTTGGGCTACATCCGTTCAATTTCGTTTATTATGCATGCAAGCAAACTCTCAAAATATTTTAGTTCTTTTTCTTAAGTAGGGGCCAGAGAAATTTATTTATTTATTTATTTATACTTTTACAATTACAAACTGCATAGAAAAGACATGGCCAACGACTCGTACGAGAAAGCCATTGCTGCTCTTCAGCAGCTTCTCAGGTTAATTTGGTAGTCGAATTTAGAATTTTATTTCAATCGACTCCAAATCTGTTAACTTTATGCTAATTTTGTTGCAGTGAGAAGGCAGAATTAGGACCGGTTGCGGCCTCGAAAATCGATAGAATTACAGGCGAGTTACAAAGTATTGTTGAAAGCAAAAAATTTGATCCAGTTGAGAGATTGAAAAACGGCTTTATTCACTTTAAACGAGAGAAATATGAGTAAGTTACTTAATCTTAAACAAATTATAATTATTTACGACTTTTATACTCTTTATCGTGAATCGTAAAGTTGATCATTATGAGTGTTCTAACGTTCATCGTTTATGCTATTCAGAAAGAATCCGTACTTGTTTAAGGAACTCTCCAAAGGCCAGAGCCCCAAGGTTCGACATTGTAAAATATCTTATTGATTCATTATTTCAGATTTAAAACTAGCTTTTTTGTATGCACGGTTATTTATTTAAATTTTGTCACGCCTCCCCTCACGTGATGATCGGATTCATATGTTCAATTTTCGAATATCTACATATGGATGACAGTTTATGGTGTTCGCTTGCTCGGATTCTCGCGTATGCCCATCACACATGCTAGATTTGCAACCCGGGGAGGCATTCATGGTTAGAAACATTGCCAGCATGGTTCCTGCATACGATAAGGTCTCGTATTTTTTATGTCAAAATACTAATATTTCTTGTGTATCTTAGTGAACGTTTGGTGCAAATTATTAGACACAATTGGACAGTATATTAAACAAGAATTTAGCTTCTTTTTTTATCCTTTTATTATTGATTGAATGTGTTACAGTATAATAAACAAGAATTTAGCTTCTTTTTTTATCCTTTTATTATTGATTGAATGTGTCTGTTGCAACAGATCAGATATTCTGGAGCTGGAGCAGCAATTGAATATGCTGTTCTGCACCTCAAGGTATAACAAGATTTCATTTTAGCGTTTTTATGCTTATTGGGACACCTCATCTAAAAGCTCAAAGTTATTGGAGAGGTGCAGTCTCGTCGATAAAGACGAGGTGATCGAACACGAGATTCTGACTATGGAATGGTTATTGTATAAGTGACCTTGTGCATTAAACATTTCACAGGTGCAGGAAATTGTAGTCATTGGACATAGCTGCTGTGGAGGAATCAAGGGCCTCATGTCTATCCCGGACGATGGAACTACTGCCTCGTAAGACTTACTTTCAAAATAAGTAAATTTCTTTTACATAAAAGTTAAAAAGTTTATGACATTTTCACTCGAACATGTCAATTGATGAGACAGGAAGTAGTGTTGAATCAGGTCTTGAAATTTAATTCTTGGGTCAAGTTGTGACTTGTGAGTTTATGAAGAAAACTTTAGCTTGTATTTAATATGCAATATTGGACAAGACTAAATAGTATAAGCACTTTTGATATGCTGAATTAGACAGGAGGAGAAAGAAAAAAGTTAAAAATCCTGTTGTGTATCCAATACAAAGTAGCAGCAATACCTAGTACTCATTCTCTAGTGATTGAAAAATGCAGTGAATTCATTGAAGATTGGGTGAAGATTTGTTTAGCTGCCAAGACAAAGGTAAAGGCGGAGAGTGGCAACTCAGAATTCACTGATCAATGCACAAACTGTGAGAAGGTAATTTTTAGCACTCGTGTCTAGTAGGATTCTCTCGTTCATTGCTGTATCTTTCAATTATGAAATATGGCAAGTGAACGTCAAGACGACAATCTATATATGATCCAACCAGTTGTACAAGGAAAAAGGTCTATATGTAGACCTTTATATCATGGAAGATGAGATTTGATCAAGCGGTCAAATCTTATGGTTTTGATCAAATTGTGGACAATATCTTACTCATTGCGAGATTTTGGAGAAATCCCATAATATGAAATTCACTGATATTTTAAAATGCAACAGGCTGCAGTGAATGTATCACTTGGGAACCTGCTGACATATCCTTTTGTTAGAGAGGGTTTGGTGAAGAACACTTTGGCACTAAAGGGTGGTTACTATGATTTTGTCAAAGGAAGTTTTGAACTGTGGGGACTGGATATTGGCCTTTCTCCATCTCTTTATGTATCAAGTGAGAATCTATATTTCTCTGAGTCTGCTTTTAGCAAGTTCAGTAAGATGGATTAAATAATTCTCAAGATTATTGAGAAAGTAAAAAAGTTGAAATCTTGATTATTTTTAGTGTTCAATACTAGTCCAATATCATACACCAACATGCCCTTTTTGTTTATAGAACTATGTTGTATAAGTGATGTGTAGTTTGACAATAGCGATACAATTGATGTGAACTAGTGGATAGGAATCAAGGAATTTTTCCTTTAATAATGTTGAGTCGTGTCCAATCTTCTTTACCAAATATGACATACATGTAATGGAGATCAACAGTGAGTCCTCTTGATGTAATATAATTTTTGGAGCTTCAGAATGACTGTATGGGACACTTGCCCAGTTTTGTTCATCATATTTTCTTGCATGTGCTGAATTAAAGCATTGGCAACAATCAATAAAACATGGTGTGCATCCAATCAGACCTCGAAGACATTTTGATCAATCACCGTCCTTGTACCCGGAATGGCCCACCTCATTAACCAGATAGAAACCCGCCCGAGCAGGCTCAGGCCGGTTTACTGGTTGAAGCCATCTTTAGTGGCTTCAAAGAGCTAGTTACATTCAAATAAAGCATTAATTACTTTTTAAGCACATCCTGATCATTAAGCAAAGAATAGATTAATGGCTATTCATAGAGGTGTATCATCCGAGCCTTTGCTATTTTTATGGTTTATTTATTAACCTATGAGCCTTTGCATCACATTGACAATTTTACTTTCGAAGCTTTTTATGGAGAAACTGAGCTTTTAGTTCAAATATGCAGTTAAGTAACAAAAGATTAACTCATCTAAGCATGTCTGAAGATAAAAAAGTCACTTAAACTAGCCAAACATGCTCATTACCCTTCAAAATAAACTAAATAGGTCTTTTATCAAATCAGAAAATGACAGTTCTCATCCAGAAAATCGTAGTCGAATGCTTTTAATCAAAATGATGCTAAACTCAACCATTACTTTATTAAACCACAAGGTATACATACTGACAGAGGAATTTCATCAACTCACATTTACAAACAGAATCCAGAAGGCAATCAAACAACCAAAATTTTCTACAATTTACTTCTGAATTCATATACAAAAGGACAATTTATAATACCGTAATGCTGTCATTTTTTGTAGTCTGAGAGCTATTGACGAGTAAACTTTCCAGTGAAATGGATTTTCTGCGCCGGACCATTCCAGCTTCTTTCAGTAACTCGGCCAATCTGCGTCTCTCATCATCTGCATCAAGATTCGCTGTTCCGAGCTTCTCCTCTCTCATCCCGACAACATATTCCATGATTTCAATTGCATCATCAGTCCTGCACAAATTTACTCCTCAAGGTTCAGATATAAACATGGTTTATCTGTTGAAATAATCTGTTCTCCAGATTATCAGACATATATCTCAACGGATTTCAAATATCAAAATGAAGTTAACAGCTTTAAAAAAGACCAACACGAGATTTAGATTGAAAAATGATGGGACTGAAAACTATTTCATATCCAAAGCTTAAAAGTGGAGGAACTTAAAAAGTTAAACTTGCAAATTTCTATATAAGGACAACAGTAGTAAGATCAATGCTAAATGCATAATTATCAGAATAATCTGTAGCAACGTTAAAGATAAGTAGTTACCTGCCCATTGCATCATAGGTACCAGCAAGATTGCTATAAACTCCTAAAGTGTCAGCATGATACGGCCCACATTCAGCCTCCAAAATGCTCCTGGCTTCTTCAAAAAAATCAGCAGCCTCATTTATTGAACAAAGTTGAACGCAGGCAAGCCCCATTTGATTCAGAGTAATACCAAAAAAGGCAGTTTTCTTTTCTCCAATTGCCCGAAACTTTGAAATGGCATTCTTTAAAGAATAGTAAGAATCAGAATAACTCCCCAAAATATAGTACAAGACCCCCATCTGGGCTTCAGTTCCTGCAATCGTGGTCTGTTTTCCTGGAGCATTACTGTATACCTCTATGGCTTTCTGAAGTAACTGCAATGCCTGGTCAGGTTCATTCATGGATTCATAGATAGCAGAAATATCCACTAGAGCACTGGCAATATCTTCCGGGAGACTTCCAGGGACAGGCTTAGAATATATACGAAGTGCATTTTCACAGTAAGTTTTGGAGTCACTGAACTTTCCTGTCTTGTTGTACAAATCAGCCAAACGGACAAAGACTGAAGCAACTGACGGATGGTTTACTCCTTTGTTCAACTTTAACATATTGAGAGCTTTCTGATAAGAAAAAATAGCTTCATCATACCGCGCCAACGATAAATATGCATCGCCAATGCTGGAGTCAATGGCAGCCACATCTGCATTCTGGCCATTAGCAGCCATGGCAATGCTTGCTAAAACATATTGCTCTAGGGCACCTTCATAATCTCCCTTAGATTCACAAATAAGTCCCAGAAGTCTCCTATCCGCTGCTTCCTCTGGAGAAGCTGAGGATCTATTCTCTTTATGGATATCAAGTGCCATTAAACAAATCTTCTCAGCTTCATCAAATTGCATTGCCTGAACATGAGCTTCGGCAAGATACCTGCAAGTCTCACCAAATCGAGGGTCTTTGTCCCCCAGAACTAGTTGTTGAATCTCCAAACCTGCAGTGTAACACAGAATAGAGTTCTCAATCTGCCCGAGCATCGCATAGGTATCACCCAACTGCATGCACCCAGCAAATTTAGCAAGTGCGTGACTTTGGCCCAAATCCATCACTGGAATTTCAATTGATCGCTCAAGAATGGGAATTGCCTCAGTATGCTGGCCAAGTCTGCAGAATATTGCTGCAACTACATGCAGACACATAACGAGATCTAAATTAGGCTTGGCATTTGCACATCTCTCAAATGATTTCATTGCTCGAAGAGCCAACTCAAGAGCTTTTTTAGAATTATCCCCAGATGTTATCACGCCTTTTGCCTTCTTGAGTAGATATGGTCCAAGGTATCCTGCCTCGCGATGATCCTCAGTTCCATTCTGCAATCTCATGCCTTCTAAAGCAGAACTCCTCTCATTTTTTGGGAAAGAAACTGAACTCAAATTTTTCAGATACTTCACAGTTTTCTTCACCTTTGGGGGTCTGCCTTGAAAAGTTTTGCTCCTTAAATTAGCCTTTCGAGAGTGCAAATGAGAAAGTCTTTTTGTTTCTGTCAGAGAAGGATGGATCTTATTCGTATCTCCAAGATCCTCGTTAGATCCTTTTTCTTCCTCAGAATTAGTGTCTCCTTCATTATGCTCTGTCACCACCTCTTTCTTTATCTCCAGCTCAACGTAATCTCCTCCACCAAGAAACCTCAACTCAGAATCAATTCTCGACTCCTCCCCATAGGATAAGAATCTGCACCTCGAGGGTGAATGATCAGAGCTCTGCATCTCACATACATTGTTATTATACAATTGCTCAATAGAGGTGTCAACAATCTCGTCTATTGGCAGATCAATAGAGTAACTCTGGGGACTCTGTGTGCTCAACGGTGAACTCTGTGTAATCAAGGGACTTCTTGGAGACCTCTCAGTGAAAATTTCTTTGTGAGGCACATAATGTCCCTCGTGTTCATTTCTGATGTTCTTCCCAGTTGATCCATCCATGGCATACTCAGACATTGAGACTGGTTACAAATCAATACGGGCTCAAATTTCTTCCTACGGATTCTAGTTATGGTTCAGCTAAAACTCAACCTCAAATCAGCTAAAATATCCACAACACATATTCTGCCTATAAGAAAATATTACAGTTAATCTAAAACCATTGAGTTACAATTCATAATCATGCAAAATTCAGGAACTTCAGTTGATAAAACTAATAAGTAAAGCATATCTAACTTCCAAGTCCCAACTCCTGTGTTGCATATATATAAGAAATTACTCGATGCGTATTCAATGATATCTCAATAAACAAGGTCAATAAAGATGAGAACAATTTTAATGCATGATACCAGAAATTTATCGATTAATATCTATTGTTATAAAAACTAGAAGTCTACAGCCACAAGAAATTTTAAAATCTCAATGATTGAAAAAATATTATCTCCGTTTTTCAAATTTTCACTGGTTTCAGGGCATATCTTTCCATATTTCCATCGTAATCCAATCGCAATAAAGAACCAGAAAGTGTAAAATTAAGATACTCAAAGCAATTTACCATGAGAAATTGACAACTAATTCAAAAGAATAAGATCCCAAATTAAAAAAAAAAAATCTACGAAATACGAAAAAAATTAAACATTAACATACCGTGATAATTCTTAAATCAAAAAGGTTGTTCAGAAAGAAATCCGGGACCGCTATATCTTCTCCGCCGTTATTACCCTGCTATATATTCACGGGCGGGCATAGAATATGAAGAGACAATATATGGATTGGGGTTGGTTGAATTGAATTAAAAATATAAAATCAAAAAGGGATGAGATAGTTCGATGATTGATTGTTAAACGAATGTATATACAAAGAGAGATGAAAGGGCGGCGGGAATCAATTTTTGGCGCTTTTTTCCTCGTTTGAAATTTGAGTCCCTTTATTTTACTATTTTTAATAAAATTTTAATATTTTTTTAATAAAGTTAATCAAACGTGTAGTTGAAAAATTATAAAAGTTGTGAATTCTAAAAAATATGTGGTTAAAATAAAAGTTGATGCTAAGTTTTATCAGGCAAGTGCAGTGATTTTCATATCAGTATATTTAGTCATTGTTTGGATTTCATTAATTTAATATTTTTTTCTCTTTTTTCTTTTCAATTACTCATTTTTCAATAAAATAATATTATGACCCTGCTTGGGAGCCATTTTCTTCCCAAAAGGTAGAAGAAATATTACCGTTGCAAGCTGGGCAACCTACCATGTTTGGCTGCCTTTGTGTGTAGTGGGGGCCCCAGTGTGTGGAAAATGACGGTACAAAAAATTCTAGAAATGAGAAAACTATGGCTCTCAAACAGAGGCTATACGTAAATCCAAAATTATTCTTTTTTTTTTAATTACATATTTTTCAAAAAAAAATCGTTATTTCAAAATGTATTTTTCCTTAAAATCTCATTAAA